GTAATGCACACTAAAACCATTGAGGTGATGAGCAGTAAAAGACCCTCTTTTAGGGGGAACTTAAGCAAAAAATATTTGCGTAACACAAGAACTCTGAAACAGAGTTGGTCAGCAGTCGGACAGAATGAGAAAAAACGAGTGCAAGGCATCCTCTGTGCTCCAGTAACACGGATTTGAGGCTGCCGGAAGACTGCTCTGTGGAGTCAGTGTTAATAAGATAAGACGCGTGTGAGTTGATTATACTGTGCAAGATGGGGTTTCAGGAGACTGAAGACAGCTGCTCTGAATCTCAAGGTTGTCTGTGTTCCAAGGTCCCCTGGTAGATCCATGTCACAAGTGACCCAAATATTGTTGCTCTCTTTTTGACCTATTTACAAATCTGTGCACTATCGGCTAATGCTGTTATCTGGGCAGTGAGGGAAAAGGACGTATTAAAATCTGCAGTTAAGACAGGGGTCCAATACAAACCCTGGATATTTCTGCAGAATGATCTCATATTCTTTTTTTTTTAATTTATTCTATTTTTTCTCAGGCGGGTACATTAATCTGGTGTCCGACTCCCGCTGTAATCTGTGCCCAGGAAAGCCCAGATTCCATGCACAGACCTCTCTCTGACACTGCTTGTTTAGGAATCTGAATGTTTCAGGCCTGAAAATAATTCCAGCTCTTGTTTATTTTAATTCTGCAGCTGTAAAAAGGAACTCAAGACACCACCTCACCTAAATCATTTTAGCTGTCGCCTTAATGTCCCTTGTTTTGTCCAAACGCTGTGATAGCAAGACTATTGTTTTTGTGTGTAGGCATAGAGTGGTCGAGTTTTCTCGTACAGAGAAATAACACGAACACAATAACACTGGCAGCCTTGACTTAAAGATAAGACACAGCAGACACAAGCACAGTGGTATCCAGTCTTTGTGCTTCTTGCAGGGTTTAAACATAGACGATTGCGCTCAAGGCTGATTATAAGTCTATTATCGCTGCTATGTTATGAAGTTGTGTTCTGTGTTGCTTGTTTTGCTGGGGCAGTGCTGACCTCAGTGTGTGCAATGGAACAAGTCGCTGATAGTTCAACAGATGTAAGGCTGTTTACGAAAGATGTCTCCTTTAATTCTGTGGATGATACTGTAGGTGTGCTTTTGATAATTTGTGAAAAAACAGAGAAAGTACAAGACTCGAGGCATCCTGTTGGGTTTCTCGGAAATTCTCCCGGCTGAGTATTTCAGACTAAATATGTGCGGGACAGGTCACGAGATCACGAGAAAGAGGATCACACTTCCTGTTGTCAAAATGATCATTTTATAGAGACGAACAACAAGGCGAGAAAGCAAATTATCGGAAATGCTGGCACCAGGACAGGGCTGTAATATGTGTGATAAGATCCCAGATATTCCAGCTGGTTTCCACACCAGGATAGCAGACATCCCAGATTTGAGCAGTTGATTTCCGGGAGGGTAAGGGGGGAGTCGTCCCTTCTGTGAAAACTTGCGGACCCCCTTGAAAACAAATCACAGCTACTGTATATAATCGAATAATTAGCTGATAGATACTATAATAAGATACTATAATATATTTGAAATACACTATAGATAGCTCACCAGTCCAGTTGAATAATCTCACTTTCTTTTCAAACCTCTGTTTGTACAGAAATGCGGCTCTGTACATATATATTATATCATTGAATAATTCGCTGATGATTTTTCGGACCGGGGGTGTCGCCAACAGAACAATTTGGGAGCGGGGAGGTGATTTCCGGGAGATTACGGATCACTTGCGGGAGTCAGGGAGGAGTGAGCTCTTCTTACAGGTTGAAAGTAATCAATAGGCACTGGAATGTGCTGAGCCTGATTCTTCAAGTGGAGATTAGTATGAAATGAAGTGATCATTTGAGTATATTCCTGGATGCAGTATTGACAGCCTCTGAGAGGCAAGAAGCACTGACCTTACGTTAATGTTTTCCTTTGTTGGTATCATTAAGTGCCTCCTACAAGGCCTGGGAGCCTGGCCATCACTGCCCCAGACACAATTGGATTAATTGCTCTGAGTAAAGCCCAGGCACAGCACAGTCCATTGCGTTCTGGCCATTAGCGAACAGATTGATACCATTAAAATCCGATAAAAACATAAAATAAAATAAAAATTCGAAGGCTGTAAATCTGAACGTGTAGGCACCTCCTGCACCTCCCAGGCAGGCTGCTGCAGGGCCTCGTGGGCCAGCGTGTCAGAGCTGGTTATTCCTGGGAAGCAGTTTTCCAGCGGGAGTGGGGAATTCCTGGGGAACGGGGCAGAGGAAGCGATGGGGCTCCCCGGAGCCGTGCGGTGCAGTGCGGTGGTCAGGGCGTGGGCCACAGGGGAGAGGAGCCCACCCGTGAGACACCCTTGGGGGCTCTCCTGCCCCTTTCTTTCTCGGACCTGGTCACGCCCCCCACACGGTGGTGGAACAGGGGGAACTCTGAAACGCTCGACGCCTCCCCTGCAGTGATTTCAGTTTCAGTTTGTTCTGGTTTGGCACGGTCGTTTCGGGATTTCCCTGATTCATTTTACTACACCCAGCTTAACCCTGCGGTGCCTTTTCGCTCCTCAGCTCCAGCACTAACTCTGTCACTTGCAGGTATTTACTTGATCATAAATACATACTGTAAGTCTCCGGGTTTGTACTCAAAAGGTTGTGGATTCAAATTCTGAAAGAGATGCGGTTTTTGTGCCCTTGAGTGTGGTGGCTCCTGCAGATGGCTTCAGCAAATATAAGCAGCTTTTAGTGACCAAATAAATATTAACATTCTGCTTTCGCATTGATGTAGCAGCTGGCCAGTTCCAAGCAATTTCAAAGTCCTGCTCTGAAACTGTTCTGTTGTCTAGCTGAAAGGGGTTTTTTTTCCCACATCCAAGGGTAGAGCAGATGAGATTGCCATAATTAGGAATTTAAACTTGGCTGATTGGGTTTTAATTGCATTTTAGTCGTCGTTTAACATTCTCTTGCCCGGAGCTCTGTGAGCGCTGTCCATCCATTGCCATACGCCTGTGAGGCCAGGAGCGTCTGGGCCTGTCTGCTCTGCCTGCCAGAATCTCAACAGGGCTTGGAGCAGTCTGCTGAAAGACTCCCGAGAAGGTTCTCCTTAACATAATGGGGTTATTCCCAAACACAGAGCTTCTAAAAGCTGTTCTCTATACAGCAAGGCTCGGGGTAATTGTTCACATTTGCAGAACTGTGGCACTGCAGTTCTTTAAGTGTAGCAGTTATTTTAACTGGACCCTTAATGACATGTTTTCAGTGAATAACCACACGTCTGTGTTTAACATGATTAAGGCAAGTGAAAACTCTTAACTCTCTTAGTTTGAGAGCTAAAAAAGGATTACTCTATGAGTGTTGCTGCACAGTCACTGGTATAGAAGTGTGTTCAGGTTAGGAGAGCTGTACGATTGCTCTTGTATTTCTGGGGTCATGTGTGTGTTCAGGTTAGGAGAGCTGTGCAATTGCTCGTGCAGTGCTGGGGTCCTGTGTGTGTTCAGGTTAGGAGAGCTGTGCGATTGCTCTTGTATTTCTGTGGTCCTGTGTGTGTTCAGGTTAGAAGAGCTGAATGATTGCTCTTGTATTTCTGGGGTCCTGTGTGTGTTCAGGTTAGGAGAGCTGTGTGATTGCTCTTGTATTTCTGTGGTCCTGTGTGTGTTCAGGTTAGGAGAGCTGTATGATTGCTCTTGCTTGCAGAAAAGCAGAGCTCTTCTCTCTGTGTACGCACAGTGCTGTGCTTCACCCCTCTGAACAATCTGCCCAACCATGTTGTTCAAGTCGGTATCCTGGTTCCCTTCAAGAAACAGCTGGCTTAGATCCTGGGATGAATTAAGGACACACTACCAGACAGGCAAGATGGGTCAAAAAGCCTCTCGTTTGTAATCAAAGGCAGGTGCGCCCTATCCTACCCTTTGAAAGAGTCATTTCTTCACCCAAAGAGTTGTGGGAGAATGGGGGGATGGAATCCTGGATTCTTGCGGGAAATGGCTGGATGAGATCTTGGGGTCAAGTAGCTGCTAGCTGCCAGCTGGGCTGTGTGGGCCTGTTGCTCTCCTGTTGTCGGTGTAACAGGAGCCGATCCGGGCTCCCGTGAAGCGTAGTTCAGGTCCCTATGCAGACGGTATAATCCGGAAGTAAGTAGAGAAGGACAACAGGGAAAAGACGTAGAGGATCAGGACGGGTTGACAGACAGGGGGGCGTGACGACTGTGATCCGGTCCAAACAGTCCAAGGGGGAATCCGGGGCACGGTCCACGGTCCAGGAACCGGGAGACAAGCAAGGTTAAAATCCAGACCGGGATCCAGAGCAGGGACAGGGTCAGGGAATAAAACCAGGGTAACGAGACCAGGTGCTCCGAGCCCCGGACTCAGACGGTCAGGATGCCGTGATGAAGCCTGTGCCTTCTGGTCACTCCAGGACCCGCTGGTAGGTGGGCTTCTGGGCGTCCCTCTCCCAATGCTGAGCCAGGAAAAGTGGGAGCGGCGGGCTTAAATAAGGAGACAGAACAGGGGGCAGGTGCACATAATCAGCTAAAATACGAAAGGGTTGGAGCGCCCTTAAGTGCAGGGATTACAATGGTGACAGTTGGTAACCTCTCCTGTGTTGCTTGTGCACAGGGGCTCTTGGGAGCAGGCCGGGATCAGGATGACGGAGAGACAGAGCGGCATGACGTCCATCGCGGACTACTATGCAGGCAAGAACGTGCTCATCACGGGGGCCACGGGCTTCATGGGCAAGGTGCTGGTGGAGAAGCTCCTGCGCTCCTGCCCTGAGGTGAGGGCCATCTACATCCTGGTGCGGCC